CGGAAAGTCAAATTTGCTCATGATAATGCCGCGAATTTCTCACGGAGAAGCGGAAACTGTTTGCGTCCCGTCGACGACGTTCGCGCTCGAAATCTCACGAGAAAGGGGCAGAAACTATAAGAGGAGAGGAGAGAGAGAGAGAGAGAGAGAGAGATTTATCTCTCGACGTTACATCACGATAATAGACGGATATCCAGCATAAGTCAACGAGCGTTTATAGCTAGTATTTGTGCATCTAATAAATATTAGATAAATTATATTATTGTTGTGTATTAACATTTATATTGTAATATATCAAAATTTCGCTTTAAATTGCGAGATAAAGTAGAAAAATTGATCGATGGCGAGATAATTCTAGCCTTGTCCGTATACCAAACTCGTAATATCAGGTAGTATTGTCGGGATTGATAGATTGAAATAACCGTGCTCGATGAAAGCGATGCTTGGAATTTTGACGAGCAAGGCGAAGAGTTGCGATTCAAGTTGAATGAGACTCGGAAACTTCGCTTCTCCATCGCCGTCAGATTAGTGACGCTCTAACGGACTTTGCTTTAGTCTAAAGAAAAGATCGCTACGGACTTTCGAAGCACGGGTAAACACGAAGCTTCGACGGCACTCTGAAGACGATTATCGAATGCAGAACAATGACCTGTCTTCGAGTCGCTCCTGTCCCGACGAAGCTGAAACTGGCTGAGAGCGAACGCTTTATTCTGTTGAAACAACGCCCGGATCTGGCAGTTGCCGCTCTTAACAGTTCTCCGATTTCAAATTTAACGTCGTTAAAGTGATTAGAAGTTGGCAAGTATATAATTTCGACACGCAACAATCCTAGTTTTCGCGACAAGAAAATGTTTGCGATGATACAAATTGCTTCGAAATGATTACGATAAAAAGAATTATGCAATAATAATTGACTTGAATTAATAATAATTGAAATAATTGCGCCATTTTTTTTCGAACGCACGCTACTTTATACTAAAACGTTTCTAAAATAACCGCGTGGAAAGAATGTCTGAAGAGCCTATTTTTTAAACAGTTAATCCGACCTGCAAGAAAAGTAGATCGTGCCAGACGTACTTAAGACGTGTTCAACGATTAACTATTAAAACTCCACTTAGGGAAAG